AACTGTTTGCATGTAGCTGTATTTGTAATTGAAATTTGGAGGCAAGCAGCAAGACTCTTGTTTAGAATTATTCGAAAGTGTTGATGTTTGACAGTTTGATAAATGAAAGGTGTTGAAAAGAATCAACACAACAATCAAACTCAAAGAGAAACGTGTTGGATCCATTTTTTATAATTGTTTTATTGCATCTCCGTAAAAGTTGAGGTTTGATTTATTTTCAATTTCATTCAAAAATCCAAATTAGAAACTCAATTATTCTTGACGAATTTTTCCAATTCATTAAACCAAAACTCAGGCACGTCTTGATATTGCCAAACATCAATTTCATCAATTCCAGAATTTTCAATCATTGAAATTCTTCTTCCTAGTTCAGTTTGGTTTACTCTCGAATCAATCATTAACCCTAAACCTAACTTTCTAATAGGAATTGTTGTAACTGCCTTTTTAAATGCAGAATCGAATTGTTCTGCACGAGCAGCATAGGTGTCCATGGTAATAATCTTGTCAACTCGACTTTCTGATAATAAATTCCAATCCCAGAAGAAACTCCAAGAAGCAATGCAAACAGTAAGTTTCTTTCCAACAAGATGAAGAGAATCCGCAAATCTATTCAAGAATTTTACAAAATTTGGAGCTAGTTGAGTTGTAATATCATTTCGAATAGGTTCAAAATCAATATTATATCCAGTTGTGTCTATATTCTTTTGATTTTCGACAGCTTGAATAATAAATCTATCCATAGTCGTCTCATTATTCAACAATTCTTGCAAATACGGAATATTAACAGTAGTTATCATTGGAAAAGTTTGCAAATTAGCCTTTTTTAGTAATGGCAACACATTACTAAAGTGATTATCCACAAACGATGAAAATTCTCCCAAATTATAAGCCTATCCACCATTCCACATTATCAATTCCATCAATTCTCCATCAATTTTCCACACAACTTACTTCATAGGAAATTTGTGTAAATTCGCCTTCCCTTGCTCTCTCCAAAATATCATTCAAATCGTGAGTGATATTTTCGTGGGTGCGTTCGAGACCCATCCAGTAGAGGACTTGACGTTTGGCGAGGATGTTGTGGGTGAGCTGAAGGAGGATGAATAAAAGGGCGAGAGAGAAGATTGTGAATTTAGCCATTTTTTTTGATGAGTTCACAAGAGTTTTTGTAAACTAAAGGTGCTTTCGGTGCGATGATGAAAATGATAGAAAATGAGATGAGCTTAAAAAACGCTTTATTTTTCAAGTTTCGAATGCCCCTTGACAGATCTTGGTACGCAACTAATGTTGGCAGAGTTGTAAAACAATTTGGAGAGAACAACTAAATAATGATCCTATCAAGGGGCCCAATACAATGCCTTTATTCTTTCTCGAAGACATGTATTGCTGTTCGTTTCTTTCGTTTTTTTTGCACAAGAGACGCTTGTTTGAAAAATCTTGCTCTCGAGACAAGTATTTATAGTAATTTGAAATGAAGGTTTCAAAAATTGAAGTGATCATGTTGTAATGGAATAGTTCAGATACAAAGTACAATTTTGAATAGAAAAGTGATCTGAGAGAAACCAACACAAAATGACTTTTCTAACAAAGCAATTTTCTTTCCAGTAAAAGTTACCGTTACAAATTGTTGTTAAAAAAAATATGCACCAAGCAAAATATTGTGGGTGAAGAAGGAATTACTTCATCATCTTTATTCATCCCAAGTAGAGTCCAATTTATGAAAATCTACCTTCTGCTTCCTCTCCATAATATCCTCCTTCATACAAATCCATGACATGGACAGAGGTAAACAACACAAACAACCAACAACGAGAATGATGAAGGGAATCATTACTCCTCCGAGGATGAGTTCGAGCTGAGCATGTTCTTTCGGGAGGGAGAATGTCATGCCAAAGAAGAAGGAATTGGCATCATTGTAGTAGCATGGAATTGCGTCTGATGATGAAGAATTGGTAGTGATGGAGTAATTAATATTATTGTAAGTAATGATGATAGAAGAACTTTCCGTCATCAGAAGAATACGAGTGGATGATTCTAAATTTTGTTGATTGTCTAATGATGATGATTTTGTTGTTGTTGTTTTTCCTAACAATGACACTAAATTATTTTCCGTAATATTATTATTATTATTATTAATTGATTGATTAGATGATGATAGAGGTGTGATAATGCACG